AGCTGTTGGGGGGGCCGTGAAGCTGTCGGGGGGGGCTGTGTAGCTCTTGGGAGGGGCCGTGTAGCTGTCAGGGGTGCTTGCCGGGCGGTGTCTGGCTGTCGAGGGGGTGGCGCATGTGCAGGTGAGTCAGTGCTGGGACCGTCTTCCTTACCGTGCTAGGCAGCACGTCCTGGGACTGACTCACCTTGAAAATGGACGTCGTGCCTTCGACCCCTCCAGCTGTCTCACCCCGCCCCTGCCCGCCCATCGCCTGCGTCCTGGAGGTCAGATTCGCGTCAGGGTCCACGCGTAAGTGGGACGGTAGAGTGTCTCTGACACACGCACTCAGCCACACACCCTCGGTCCGCACGTGCCCTCGCACAGGGCTCGCCAGCTGCGTTTCAGGCTGAGCAGTGTCCCCTGTGCACAAACACCATGGCGTCCTGTCCGTTGTCCGTGGCGGGCACTCGGTCATTGCCGCGTCCTGGCTGCTGTGATGAGCGCGGCCGTGGACGCGGAAGCAGATGCCGCTTTGGGCAGCGATGTCCTTTGCTTCCTTCGGATGCGCACGCGGAGTGGAGTGGACAGTGGCATTGCTGGGTCGTAAGGCGGCTCCATCTCTACTTGTCTAAGGAACTTCGTGCTGTTTTCTGTGGCGGCTGCACACGAAAAATAATAAACGTGTAAAAGACAAAACAAAAAGCAAGAATTTGAAAAGATGCTTCTTTTCACATTCTACGTAAGGTTCAGAGATGCCGGTTGTCCACATCCAGTGTCGTCTGTGTCGTCCCTGCCTCTGTCACTGCTTCCAGGCTGGCTTTGGGACACGAGGTCAGGGGCTGGGCCTGAAGCCGGTCTGCTCGCTGTGCGTCTTCAGTGCCACCCCGCCCACCCCCTGCTTTCTGTGTGTGCGTCGCTGCTCTGCGGGCTGCGCTGCTGAGGACCGGGGTCTGCAGACCAGGGCCCCCTCCCCGCTCCGCAGGCCGGCCGGTCGCGCGGTCAGCTCGGGTTGAAGCAGCAGGGTCTAATCTGGAGGGCTTTGCTTCTTTGGAAAAGTCATGAGTTTTTCTGGGTGACACTAAAGTTTGGCCGGAGTATTGAGGGATGGGACTGCGGCATCTTGTCAGGGAGGACACAGGGTGCCTGCGGGCGGGGTGACCTACCTCACAGATCCGAGGGTGGGCGGGGTGCGCCCTGATCTCGCCGGAGATAAAAAGAGGAGAGAGAAATCACACAACGAACGTCGACGACAGCAACACGCTAAGACGCCCAGAAAGGGGACCCCCCGGGGACGGGGCGCGGGGTCTGGCCGAGGGGCCCCTTGGAGATCGGGGCAGGAGAGACGGGTGTCGAAGCAGGGATTCGGGCGCCCCAAAGGGAGGACACACGGGGTCGGCATCGCCGGCTCTGCCCGCATGTCGCCCGCACACCAGGACCCCCCGAAGCCCTGGCGCGCCCTCCTGGGCCAGGCGCACGTGCCGTGAGGCCGGCAGGTCCCGACGTGTGAAGGTGGGTGCGTCAGGGACGTGCGGGTCAGTGTGTGCGACGGGGAAGAGCCACAGCCAGCACCTCTGTCCAGGGCCGACAAAGGGGCTGGCGTCTGGGCGTGGCAGCCGGGACGTGGCCGCACAGCTCGGGGTGGACCTGGTCGGCGGATCTGTGCAGAGTGGACGTTGATGGAGCGCTCGCCGAGCCCCGGGCTGCGGGAGGCCTCCCCACGCGCCGGGCCACTGCGCCTCCGGGCGGCTCCGGCTTGAGGGCTAACCTGCCCTGGGTCGCAGGGCGGGCGTCCCTCCTGGGCGGCGGTCGGCACACTCTGGCCTGTAGGCCAAAGTCATGGTCTAAGAATTGTTTTTACATTTCTAACATGGTTCTTAAGAAATCAAGAACAACGTTCTGTTACAAATGATGATCACGTGAAATTCAAGCGCGTGTGCCCAGAACCAGAGCCTTGCTGTGGCCCCGTCACGAGCTGCCCATGACGGAGCAGCGGCCAAAGGACTGGTGGCTCCGGCACACCTGCCTGGCCTGCCGTCCATGGTTTGGCCTTTCGCAGAAAGGGCTCGCCCACCTCCACCTTGACCGCAGCTCTGGCCCCTGCCTGTCAGCTGCTGATGGTACCGGCCAGCACTTCTGCCACCGCTGGGCACTGGTCGAGGCGCGTACAGCCAGGCAGTGACGGCCCTCTGCATCACGTGTCATCGTTGCCCCTTTGACGTGAGAAATGAGGCATCAGAGGTGCCTGTCCTCCCAGGGGCCTGCACGGGGCAGACGCGGAAAGGCAGGGTGGAGAGCGCGGTGACTGTCCCTCTGTCACACAGGAAGCTGCCCCCACGGTGCTGCCCACTGCTCTCAAGAGCATCCGGTGACAGCACTTTCATGGAGATGCGTTGTCACGTCATGTGTCCCACAGGTGAGGCCCATTCCAGCCTGGCCACACCGGGTCCCCTGCCAGCTGGCACCCCCTGTCCTGGGCGGCCACTCCCACCCAGCTGTGCTGCTGAGGGCCCCTCAGTGACGCCCTCTGGGGAAGCGGAGACGCGTCCCAGAAGGGGGGGCGCGATCTCGGGGTGCTGCTTTTCCTTCTCCTTGGGAGGCCCTGCCTTCGGGGCTGAGGGCCAGCGTGGGGCGCTTCCGGAAGGCTCCGAGCGCCTTTGCCCCCACGCGCTCCCCTCCGCGTGTCTTCCCGTGCTGGACGGCCCCGTTCCCGCTCATCCCACCGGAAGATGCCCGTGGAGTGCACCGTGACGAAAGCGGCCTCACTTAGTTTCCGTGGATGATGTTTCTATTCCTGTAAATGTGCACCTCCTTTTAGAAATTAGACAACGCAGAGAATCCGCAGACATCTGCGTCGGGGGTGAGGAAGCTGCTGCGTGCGTCGGCCTGGGCCACGGGGGGAAGACGCACACCTGGGAAACGAAGACGAAGCGTTTTAAAGCCCTTCTCGCGGCTGGTGAGAAGCCTGCGTTTCCTGACGCTCTGCCCTGCCGTGGGCCCGTGAGGCAAGCGGCTCCTCCAGGGGGGGTGGCTGGGGCCGCGTGGGGACAGCCCCCGGCCAGGCAGGAATAGAAACCAGCTCTGAGATGAGAAGAAGGGGGTGGGGTTAGGACAGGAAATGGGCCACACCAGGTCACGGAAGCAGCGGAAAGCGCGGGACCTTTGAGCAGTGCGGGTCGCAGCTCCGCCTCCGTCTGCAGACAGGGTGTGGGGGCGCGGCCCCCCGTGCACCCTCACATTCCTCACTTACGTGGCTTTTGCCCCACAGCGGCAGAGTCGAGTAGTTACAGCAGGGAGCAAACGGCCCTGCCAGGTCTTAAATATTCACTCTGGTCCCACCGGGGTGCAGTGGGCGTGACTGCGAACCCCGTTTCAGTGCCGCTTTCCCTCCCTTTCGCCCCGGGTGGCGTAACTGTCTCAGGCCTGGACGGCCACCGCCCTGCGGGACCAGGAGATGGCAGTGTCATCCCTGCTGGCCAGAGCGGCCTGCGAGGACAGCTTGCCCCGAGGAGCTCAGTGCCACATAAAATTCAGGAACAAAGGCTCAGAACTGACGGCCCCCGTCCAGGCTCTGCGTGGGGCGAGGCGGCCAGAGCCACTTGCTCCCGTCCTGGAGGGCTGTCCGTGGCGTCGCACGTTTGGCGGGGGATCAGGAGACGCTGGCGTGGTGTGACCGAGCGCGGTACATGGGACTCAGGGCCCCGGCGCCTCCCGAGGCTGCGGGAGCAGAGGGCGAGGTGCCCGTCCCTCACGTGCCTTCTGCACCCGCCATTTCAAAGCTAACGCTGTGGCCGATGGAGCCGGTGCCGCGACACGGTGGCCCAGGCGTCCCCTTGCGATCCGCACACGCGCACACACTTCAAGCTGGACGTCGTGTTCACGGCTGTCACCGCGCCCACGCGGTGACGTGCCGGCCGTCTTCCCAGGGATGGTGCCGTGGCCCCCGTGCTGCCTGTGGGAGCTGGTGCGCGGTGCAGGCTGCAGAGCTCTGTGCCTGCGGTTTGACTGAACCCAGCCCCAGGCTGTGCACCCCCTCGGCCCCTGGATAAAAGGGGTGATAAACATCGTCACGACACTGGGAGCCCAGTCACGGGGAGGGGCGGGCCAGCGCGGTGCCTCGATGGTCGTGGATGATGGGTTTTTGGTGTTAAAAACTCCTGTATTTCAAATGTTGCACAGAGTCGGCCTAGTGGCCTGAGCTGTGGGCTCCCAGCGAGTGCGTGGAGACGGCACAGACCCCCGCCCCGCCCCGCCCTCGCTGTCTCCCGGGAGCACCGGGGCTTCGGCATCCACACGCGGGGGGAGTGGGGGGCCACCCCAGGGCCTGCGGAAGCCGCGGGGCAGACTCAGTGTTTTCCTGGGGGGGGTCTCTCGAAGCGTCTTTGTATCGGAGGAACATGCCCAGGAGGCAGCACGTCCTGATCCTGCAGCTCAGTCTCAGCGGGGGACGCACGACACGTGCAGCTCTCTGGAGCGGACACTTTAATCGCACGTTTGTGCCAAAGTGAGTACAGGTGACCGGCTGGGCGCCTGACGTCTGCCAG